GCTGCTGCCGCCCCTGCTGCTGCTGCTGCTGCTGCTGCTGCTGCTGCTGCTGCTGCTGCTGCTGCTGTTGTGGTCGCTGTTGTGGTTGTTTGTCTCGTCGCTGCTGTTGCACTTGCGGTGGTTCCTGTTTTTCGCTAGTGGTCTTCCTGTTGCTTCCACCATCAGTTAACATCCCACCTACTGTCAAGTGGCTGTGCCATGTCCGGCCTGGACTCGGGGGCTGGCTGAGATTTCTCCGACCTGCGCCGCAAATGGAAGCCCAATTGCAGAAGAAGGCCTTCGAATGGGTGAGTTCATGAAGTTGGTTAGACCCCTTGTGGAAGCCATGAGTTAGGCCTCTATTCCTCGCTTCTTTTTGGGAAACTCCTCCAATTTTTTGCCGAAGCAGTTCTCAGCACCGTTTCACATCAGGAAGCTCTAAATGCAAGGGACGCCAACCGCCCCGCTCGTGCTCGATCAACAAACCCAAAAAAACTATTGGGCCACTGACCTCTGCCTCTACACTTGCCGGACACTTGAGGTTTCGCAAATCAAGCCCTTGTGAGTCACAATCAAAACCCGGCATTAAAATGGCCAGAGCCATGTAAAGAATTAAGAAGGCGGCCGCAGCTATCTATGGTTGGGATTGTCCCTCACTACCCTCCATCTACCCGGGTTTTGATTGTGACTCATGTTCTGCGACGAGGCGACCTCAGCTTGGCAAGCAGATCTTCCTAGCCGTAGGACCCACCAGTCTAGGGCATTGGTTCCACGAAATGGGCGCGCCCGCAAAATTATTGGTTTGCTTGTGGTTTGCCTTGAACACATCCTTAAAGTGGTGCCCTCAAAACTCAAAAAAAAAAAACACACCCAACTGCAAGAGCTTGGCTGGAGATGTGAGACAGTTACTTCCTTCGATTCCAGCAGTTCTTTTGTGGTTTCTTGTGTGATCAATCTTGACGCTTGCCGGCTTCAGCTCGGTGTTTTGAGAACAAGCTGCTGTATCTAGAGTTGCGCTTTTCGTTTGGGCTATGACTCGAACGCAATTCAACAACATCAGCCCGCCGCGCCGTGATTGATGGACAAAAGAGAGCCGCTGCAGCGCATTGCTGGAACTTATCTCGGCCGTGCTGCCCCAAAACTGGGCTGCCCTCAGACTGTCAGATGCCCGCGAAAAGTTTAACATTTAGTGGGTTAAATGGAACTACCACTAAACACTAAAAAGCCAAAAGGCCAAAGGGATGGCTGGGAGCCACCAAGAAAATGCACACAAGTCGCACTCAAGGATGGTCTCCGCCACCTCAAGTCACTGACCCCAGGGGAGTTGGGCTGGGAAAACCATCTCCGTTCTTTGATGCGCCGTGCGATGCGCCCGGCCGTGTCAGGCCTGGCGTAGGACGCCGCGCTGCCACAAGAGTGTGACCTGCAAATCATCCAGCTGAATGACAAGGCGTGCAAGGCTCCCCCACTCCCAGTTGCTGTTTCGACTCCTCTGTAACTAAAACAAAACGATCCAGTTTCGGTGTTTTTCCCATGTCCAATCCAGTTTCGGGGTCCAGATCCAAGAGCAACCCCCCTTCACGTGCCCTTTTCCCCGGTTGGTTTCTCACAAAGTTCGGGAAACCCGTAGCGACCACCAGCACACACACGAGATCAATTGGAAAGCCGCAATCCATTGCCACTCGGCGTTTTGTTAACTACAAACCGGAAAAAAAAAGAAGCTCAAACTTCCGGGCCCCACCAAACGTGGAAGTGCAGAACCCTGTGTTGATGCCTACTTTTCAATGGCTAAAACGGCAAGGTCCATGTCCATGTCAGAAAGGAAAGTCACTACTCGACCCTAGCCCCAAAAACACTCCTTGCCTGCAGGTTGCAAGAAGGAATCAAGTGTGGTCTGCTTCGGCCTCCCAAAATGGATCCAGCAAAGAACGGCAAAGCAGCCGCTCCCCCAGGCTGCTTGGATTCACCATCGGTGTAACGCGGTCCAACTCGTTGAGAAATTGGCTCTCCGAAAACCGGCGAGTTCACAAAGAAAGACCGGGTATTCTGCTCATGTGTCTTTAGGTTGCTTTTCTTGGGATAGTCTTTGCTAGTCCAACGTCGGGCACATTGTGCTTGGAGTTAGCAACGTGCTACAACAATACAACTTTAAGCAAGCACAAATCGGAACCAGCCAGCTCTGGACCAAGACTAAATAAATTGAGTTAAAAAAAACAATTGAACACAATATTACACCAATACTGACCAATGCTTGTGGGACTTCTTTGGGCTTTGCTCATTCGCGCGCCCAGCTTGCTCATTCGTTTGGGCGCACCCTTTTATCTCACTTGCTGAGTGGATGGCCCAAAAAAAGTTCAAACTTTATATTTACCACTATAATGGTCTTCCCAAAAAGTTTAAAGTTCATGAACTCAGGAAGTGAGTTATTCATGAATCCATCCACGTGTTTCTCACAGCCTGGGCCACAGCCCGCTCGCCCCACCGTCTTTTTTCGTGCCTGTTTCGTCGGGTGACAGAAGCAGCTCGCCTGAAGCGAGCGAGCTCGCCGCGCTTTCGACTCCGGAGGCGCGAAATCTCGCATCTCTCGCGTCTGAGTCAGAGCCAAAAGCTGATTCCTTTTGCCGTCACGTCTTAGCTTCGAAGAATTGGTTTTGATTGGATTGCTGGCTCCGTGGATTTTTCGTTCTCCGTCTACAAGAAGCAAGGGGTTCACTTGGTTGCTGTTGACCCCCCTGCAAAAGTTTAGCTTTTTGGGGGTTTAGTGGAAAACACCTGTATTTCCCCAAAAAGTGAAAGCCTAAAGATCCGTTGCCCAATGGATCCGTCAACATTCCCAATCCAATCCACCCAGCGACTGACTCACGCGAGAAGAAATCCCCAGCGCCCCGCCTGCCCGCGCCCTGCGAAAGGGATCGACGGCAAGCCGGGAGGGTGGGTCAAAACTACAAGGAATCGGACCGCAGGGTTTAGTCCATTCCACTTAGGTTCAGTTTGGATATTTTGCCCCCACTTTTTGACCCAAATACAACAGCAAAAAGGGGCAACCTGAAGAAAGACACCCCCAAATATCAGTCCATTTTCAGCTTCACTCCAAAAAGGGTGGTTTGGAGGTGGCTTGGTGGCGGTTGAGGAGGGGTGTCCCATTTACCCTCTACAAGAACCAGGAGTTCCAATCCCAAACCACCAATCCAAACTACCAATTCAAAATAATCCCGAGATTTCTTGCAATCCCCTCCCCCCCCCCAAAAAAAAGAGATGTTCACGGGCACTCTACAAGGGGCCCAGAACAACTCCTTTCAGGAACGATTTGCGGAAGACAGTTTCTCTCTAGGCAAGTGGTTTACAAAACTGGCATTCGCTGTCGTGGCGCCTGCTGCTCAAAGACGGATTCAATCCACCGCGATCCATTTACCTGTATAGCAAGCACCCTCCCACTGACTAACACGGAAGTGCACACACCCCTGTAGAGGACCTTCCGGTGCCGTGGAACCACCGTACGTTTAGACCTACTCAGGCCAACTCTGTTCGATGTGGTTCGCCTTTTGGCGCGCAAAGGGCGGCGCTGTGCTTCAGTGATTCCAAAGGTTCACATCTCCGCAGTCTCTGCAAACCTACGGCAAGGGATTTTCCAAATGATGCGCTCATCAACTGAGAGGACAGGCATCAGGTGAGCTTTTCTTGTCGTCGGGCGGGCTCCCCAGACATCGGCTCGCCATTTTTCGAGCGTGCCGTTTTGCACGTGCATGCGGCACGTGTGGCGCGGCCTGCATACGAAGCGATTCCAAGCAGCGCTAGGAGCCGACATGTCATGGCACGGCAAGATCTTCCATTGGCAATAGTGAATAGCAAAATTTCTTTGATTCATCTCAAACATCCAGGGCCAAACAAGAAGCGAAAAGCGTTGGGCACAAAACCAGTTCAATTGGCTTCGTGGTTCATTCGCTTGTTCTACTTTCAATTGACTGGCGCAAAAGGCCAACACCCACAAGCAACACCAAACCAATCACGAACATCCCATCAGTCCCCAAACAACCCTTCAGGGGTCATCTTGTGCATATGTTCCCTGTATTTTAATTGACTATCCGTGAGCACGAGCGAAACATGCAACGGTGCATTGGAAGATCAAGCCCACTTTGGCCCTTGCTCAGGCTGCTCACCTTAGACAAGGAAGCGGGTAAGCAAGCACGAGGGTGTGAATATCTGCTGTGAAAAGGTGTCAACGCGCGGAGGTCTGAATAGTATCACCGAGGGGGTGAAAGGCAGTGAACATGTGAGCGTGAGAGTGGGCGTAAGAGCCAGTCCTCTAAGTCAAGATACATATTAAATAAGAAACGACCCTCAACAACTCCTAACTCTCACAAAATCTCATGAATGCCCAGTTCGACCTAGGACTAAAAAGTTGATCACCTTTTGGGCCCTTACCGAAAAAGTGGTTGCCAGAGCAAAACCCAAAGGTCGCAGCCGGTCGATCCTTCTTTTGAGAAGGATTCGACCGGTTGGATATGAGTCCTACAAATTAGGCACCAAAAGGTGGCCAGGCTGACCATGGTTCTGGGGGAATGACACTTCGGTGTTGAGATCTCCGCAAAAAGGGTTTTGTTCTTGATTTTTGTCATGGATGTATAAAAACAAAGGTTGAACGTACCCGTGGCTGAGCCCAAGCAATGCTCTGAAAATTATTCAGGGGCCCATGCAACACATCTGCCGAAGAAGCACCGAAATTGCCGTGCCTCAGAAGAGACTGGAAGACCTTAGTCAAGGAACTTGGCATGTACTTTTTTGGGGGGTCCCGCAACTTGCCAGCAAATTCGCAACTACCCTGCCAGTGAAGCAACTTGCCGAAAAGAAACTTAGCGTAGCCGCCTCTTGCTCTTTCCACTTTGAGTGGATTTTCGGATGCAAGGTCCATAGTAAACCCATGGCTGGAACCGAAGATTCGGTGGGTTCGATCCTGAGGGGATCAACATGGATCCAACCTAGGTGAGGCCTCCAAAAGAACACCCAAATCGAAGATCCAGCTGCTAGTAGAAGGACTGGCCCCAATCTTTGCGCTTCACCTGCTCGTACACGGACACGCGCGCCACTTCCTGCAGACTCTGCATAACGCAAGGGACCTTCTTGGGTGTGTGTCGTGATTTGCGTGGAACAGCAGATGGTGAAACAAAGCAAGCAAAGAAGGAAGCACAGAAACAAGCAATAAACGAACAACGCATAGAAACAAGTTCCATTCGGGAAACCTACATTCTCTCCCGACGGCCGCTTTTGCCGTCTGAGACACCTGTGCCAAGCACGTAGCTTTCGAAAGGCAGGCCGAACACGGGATTGTACTTTTGACAGGCAACCCAAAGCGCAGAATACTTTAAACACGAATGTTTTTAGCACAAAGTCCAAAGGTCACCGAACTGTGGGGGTACCGGTTTTGGTCGGTCGGGAAACTTGACATCGGCATCCCACCTGCGGGATGGCGTGGTCCTTGCCGTTCTCGATGGGAGTGTGGTCCTGCACCTCTGCCAGGGATACTGAAAAATGGCAGCTTATGTGGGGGGTGTGGCACGTTTTATTTCGGGCACAAAAAACTTAGGGCACATGTACGGTCCTTCCTACTTGCTACGTGCACACCATACCCTGCAGTGCTGGTATGCCCTGAAAAACATCCTAAGCACCAGTTACATCAACGATGCCACTGCATGGTGCAAAGGGAAATGGGGTACCTGTCACATCCAAAAGCAAACCAAACGCAAGTTTCTGCCTGGCCTCCCTTATCTGCCAAAGCCGCGGATGGTTGAGAAAACGAGGAAACATGTCTCGTGCCTTTGCCGATCGACCAAGCACGCGGGGACAAGATCACGCCGCCCAGCTTGGATCCGAAACCAAGAAATCCGGAGACCTTCCGCAGGCCTTCAGCTTCGGCGCCACGTGTCCGTTGCCGGCCTGGACGTGGGGAAGCGAAATGTCAACAGCAAGCAATACCAAAAGAGCTGCAGCCCGGGGGTGGACATTTCAAAATAGCTTGGGGCACGCTTCCTTTCCGTCTCTCTCTCTCTCTTCTTCCCTGTGCCTTTCCCTTTCTCTGTCTCCTTCCTTTTCTCTGCCTCCTCTCTCTTGTTCTTCTTTATCTTTCCCATTCTCTTTCTGCTTCTCTTTCCCTTTCCCTGCCCTGCTTTCTCTTTCTCTTTCTCATTCTTTTTCTCTCGCTCTCATTCCCTGTATTCTCCTTAGGTTTTCTCCCTCCCTTTCTTTTTTGTTTCTGTCTCTCTCTCTCTGTTTGTTTTTCATTATTTCTCCTAATCTGTCCCTCCTCTTGATTGTTCCTTTTCTCCTTTCCCTACCTCTGACTCCTCTCTCTCTCTCTGTCTCTCTTCGTCTTTTTGGTCTTTCTCTTTCTCTCTCTTGTTGCTGTTCTTTCCCTTTCTCTCCCTTTTGCTTTCTCTTTCCTGTTATCTTTCTCTTTCTCCTTCAATGTCTCTTTCTGCTCGTTCTGTTCTCGCTCTCTTTCTACTGTTCTTCTTCCTGCAGAACGTTACAAAATCAACGACCTTTTTGCTAGCTCGACCCACGGACTGTCCGCAGAGGGTTGCGCGAGCAAAGCGAACACCGCATAAACCTTCTGTAGTCTTCAAGTTCTATTGGGACTGGAGACTGTTCTTGCTGGTGTGAAGAATGTCTTCCTGCCTTGTCTGTGTACTTGTTCCTCCTGGTAATGCTGTGACTTCTGCTTGTAGGAAGAGCAGCTGTCTCCAGTATGCTGTTGAATCCTTTGTTGAGCTGTAGTCTTGGATTGTCATTCAGTGTCAGTTGGAAATCGTGTTCCACCTCACAAACGTAGAACGGTATGACAATCTGTTGCCCGCTGTGGTTTGTCACGCGAAGAGCTTGATGCGTTGGTTGCTCACCGTTCTCAGTTGTGGTCCTGATCCATGCTCAAGTTGCTGTTGTGGAAATTGTGCTGCAAGCATACGTGCGTAGCCGCACCGCTGTGAACCATAAGACTGCCCCGTTTGTTGTCTTCTGTGAGTCGCTGCGCTGTGCCAATCATGGCAATTGCCCGTCGTGTAATCCTGAGACGGGTGCTGCTGATGAATCTGTTGGCTATGGTAGCGCTAGTTGTTGTTTCCTGTGTTTGATGCTGGGGGTACCAGCTGCTGTCATAGTGCACCTGATTGTACCAGTCATCGGTCTGGTCGTTGGTGTCGAAGTTGCCAGTGTCTACATTGCTTGGCCATGTGTCCTGGCTGTCCACATCTGTAGCAAACATTTGTCGCATGTTTTCCTTTGGCTCCTTACTTCCTTGTTGGGTCTGATTTGCGAATATGTTGTGACGTTGCCTGCCTGGAGTGTTGCTGTAGTGGTCCTTTTGCTTTATTGAGCAGTATGGCGATTTGGACTGTGTCTGGTAGTAGTGTGTTGTTGTCTTGTTCATACTTAGAGGGTTGGATCGCCCATGTTGCAAAGCTCTCTACGAACTTCTGTTCATCAAGCGGTGGTTTGAGTAACTTTGTTAGGTGCCCAATGCTTCGTATA